AGAAGAGTTGGAACTTTCCCCTCCGCCACGAAACCTGGTGAATGGTTTGAGTTTTTCCAAAATTATTTCAAATTTAGCTGCTAGGAGGCTGGGCCGACAGTTCCAATTTTTCTTTCAATTTTGCATTTTGTTGGATGCTTCCCTCAAGTCTTCCAGGATAGTTCAGTCATTAGTCAGAGCTGGAAGGTTTATTATTTATTTTGACAGTCACCAGCCTATTTTGTCAAATAGTACACATTACGGCTCCATTTGACAGGTGTTACTCTGAAAATCCTTCCGTTTCTTTTTCCTCCTTTGAGTGAGGCTTCTATATCTGCTGTCTTGTTTGCCTTCCCAAAGGAAGCACAGTACATTTTCTGGTTGATAAAAGCTTTGCTTTGTTGCTACTTTTCAGTGACAGATTAGGCAGCCATTGGTCAAAAACTTTTTTCTTGATTTAATCTAAATTTTGGTGATGTGCTTAAGCTGGAATCCAATGGGAGATAAAATAGAAAAATAAAAGAAAGGGTCGCTGGCCCAGTGTAACTAGAGGCAAGAAAGCACTCCCGTTTCACCTACAGGATGCATATTGTGAGGTTAGCCAAGTCAAAATGAGTTTTAAGTTTACTGGTGTGAGATTAGGTTAAAGGAAAAAAAAGAGCTGCCTCATGTTTTTGATTCTCTCACACAAGAAAATATATGTGGCTGGGATTACATAGAAGAGAACACTAGGCCAGATGAGAAAGTTAGGTAGCTCCTTCTGGAGAAGGTGGCTTCTGATTTATATTTATTTGTTTATTTATTTATTAAAAGATTTTACTTATGTATTTATTTTTGTTAACATATAATGTATTACTTGCCCCAGGGGTACAGGTCTGTGAATCATTAGTCTTATACAATTCACAGCGCTCACCATAGCACATACCTCCCCAGTGTCCATAACCCAGCCACCAATGGTGATACAGACAAAAGAAAAGACAGTGGGAAGGGCCCTCTATAATGATACAAATATAAGTGGGATGGTGAATTTGATTTTGGATGTGTTGCTTAGAACATATTATCAAACATTTGGGAATTAAGTTTTCTCTGATATTTATGGTCAATCATTGTTATCCATTTCCTTCTCTAACTTCCTTATCTACTCGAATGCTGCCTCTTTAGAAAGCCTCTGACTACCCAATGAAGATGTTTCTCTATCACTTCCTTGAGAGCTCTCTATCCCGTTAAGTCCTGTTTGTTTCTTGTTTCTTTTTTTTTTTTTTTAAGATTTTCTTTTTTAATTTATTTGAGACAGACAGAGGAGGGAGGGGGAACACAAACAGAAGCAGGGGCAGAGGGAGAAGCAGTCTCCCCACTGAGCAGAGAGCCTGACGCAGGGCTCAATCCCAGGATCCTGGGATTAGGACCTGAGCTGAAGGCAGATGCTTAGCCGGCTGAGCCACCCAGGTGCCCCTCCTGTTTTATGTTTCTTAATAGAATGTTTTATTATACCACAGGAAGAAAAAGCAAGTATTTGTTTAATTACCTATTGTTAGTCTCCTTCTGTTTCAGCAGTACCGTGCAGTGTAACATACTCCCTTAACACTAAGTGGATAAAATGCAACATGTTTATTAATTACAATTCTGTGGTTCAGGAATTTAAGCAGGACCCATCAGAGATGATTAATCTCTGCTCTGTTGTGTCAGCAGGGTTTACTTATTCAGATGGTAGCTGAGTTGGAGGATCAAGAATGGCCTCATTCACTTGTCAGGGACCATACTGCTGGGCTATTGGCTGGGGATTCTCTCTTCACATAGCTCCTTTCTCCAGATGGACAGCCTGGGCTTCTTTACCAGGAGCCTCAGGATAGCAAAAGAATGCCATATCTCATAAAGCTTACACCCTGAACTAGGACAGCATCACTCTACCACATTCTATTGGTCAAATCAAGTCCAAAACCAACCCAGTTTCAAGAGGAGAAGAAATAATTTCCATTTTTTAACATGAAGAGTTGCATGCATAACATATGGTTGCTCATTTATTACTATTTCTTTCATTATGTCATTGAAACACTGTTGAATAGCATACCCACATATCCAATACTGATTTCTTTCCTTAACTAGAATCTTTTATCTCTATGTGCTCATGGGTATTTCTTCTTATATGACCTAGTATCACTTCAGAAACAATATATTACAAATAAACTCATCTTTCCTCCCATGCCATTTTTTTTTCTCCTCATAATTCTTCTATTCCATAAATGCTATTATCTCAGGCTTTTATTATCACCAAGGATTTAAAACATGGAGTCACCTCTCTCTCTTCTTTTTGCAATCAGATGCAAGCAAAAGCACAGTTGAAAATTGTTTTACACAAATTGCTGTACATTACTTTGGTAGTGTGGAATTGAGTGAGTGACTTAACCTTTCTGATCCTATTTATTTATCATTTCAAATTGATATGATACTTTCATCTCAGGGTGATTGTGGAGATTAGTTTTGGGAAAAAAAAAAAAACTTTCTAGAGGACCTGAACAGGTGAAGTGCTCAATAAATGCAAATGTATAACTTCAAGAAATCTTTCTATGGTACTCATGTACACGGTATTGATTGGCAACATTTTACATACATACTATATCTTCACAATGACGGAGTAAACTACCTGAAAGCAGTGACTTCCCAAATCCTTGGCATGGGGCCATACACATTTAGAATTAGGAACATGATAAAGCCTGTTGATTAACACATTAATATTACTTTAAAAATATAAGCACTATTTTGAGGGGAAGGAGTAAATGTGAACTCACTGGATTTACTGACATTAAGGTAATGTATATTAGTTTGTTGTTGTTTTGCATTCTACATTATGCTGTCTTCTCTATAAAGCTAACTTGAAAGAAATGTGTATAAGAAAATAAGAGGGCTGATGCAAAAAGACCACTGCTTTTGACAGTCAGAGGGTTTTCAAAACCTAATGCCAGATGTTGGGTCAATCTTGGGAATCATAATTCCTTTTAGTTTTACATTAAGAACCTTATATATCCTTTTAAGACATCCAGTAATATTGCAGCAGTTACATTTTGAGGAAAAAAGCATTTTAGAGACCAAATGCTTCCCCCTACCTCTGAAATATGATTATTTCAGTTACTAGTAACAACAATTAATCACTAACTGATTCATCAGCCTGCAGCTGGGATTAGAGAGCTGACTTCCTTTCTTTATTCCTATTTTATGTTCTACTGTGCTCAGCAGGGATTGAGTAATAGCAAGCTAGTAACCTTTCCCTACCCTCAATACCTTATTCTAATACCAGCAAAGAAGAAAATGTTGAATATTTTCCCAAGTACAACTTTCTTCCACACATTTCTGAAGGGAACTTTAGCATTACAAGTGTTGATCCATTTTGCTGTAAGAATAAGACATTATAGAAGGATATTTCCTTAAGGTTTGACCAACCATTCTTTGCTATGTTTCATTAAACAACTCATGCTAGAGGAATTGTATATGTAACTCATTCCAAATAGGTAATGCTTTTCTATTTCTTGGAATTTATCTGAGTCATATGATTGAGATTTATAATATATTAATATACCCATCTACCCAGCAATAGATCTTCAAACATTTTAGGGTTCTGACTATGAATATGTTGCATTTCTTAGAACTCAATAAGAAGATACCATAATCTATTTCAGTTGTTATGAGGAGGTGCCAGAAGCTTGACCTAGGAGAAGCATACTCATCCTTTACTTCAGAGGAGTAGGTTCTCCTATAGCAAGGATTCTCAGTTAAAAATCCATAAACTTCTGGGCCACAGGGGTGGCACAGTTGGTTGGGTGTCTGACTCTTGATCTCAGCTCCAATCTTGATCTCAGGATTGTGAGCTCAAGCCCTGTGTTGAGTTCCATACTAGGTGTGGGACTTCTTTTAAAAAAAGGAAAAAAAAATCAAGAATTCAAACTATCTGCAAACATCCAAGCACAATTTATGTCATTGGGCATTTTTTATATTTTTTATCAGTTTCTCCAAAATATTAAAACCAATCCCCTGAGTTCCTCTCAGGACATACCGAATAACCTTATATATAAAACCACATTAATTTAGTCACTTAATTATTTTAAAGTCTAGTATCCTATGAAAATGTTAGTTATAAGTTCTATAGACTAAAGTCTACTCTCCTTAATATAACTGAAATCATAATTAGTATGCATTAGTAATAGAGATGTCAAGAACTCAGTAAGATCTGAGACTTTACCCTACTAATGTGTCAAGTCAGCTTGCTATAGTTTTGTGGGTGCTGGGGGAATACATGAGACTCCTGAATCAGAAACAAAAAGTTTACTACTTATAGCAATAGTAGTCATCAGAGTATCAGCGTTTTATGCTGGTGTCCCACAAGTGGGGCAAGTGCCTGCTCACACATCATGATTTGAATTATAAGAGTAGAATTCCAACTGTAGGAAAAATGAATCTTTTATAATGGACAGTAAACCTGACTAATCTTTGCCCCAAAGAGACAATATCTGAATAGTAAGATCCATGCAGAATTGTCTTCTAACTATATTCATTCCTTGATGCAACACTGTTTTGACTTCTGGAAAAATTTCCTATGAGTACAATACTCTGTCAGGCACATTGATCAATATGACTCATAGAGATTAGGACTAAATCTGTTAAATTTGTCTCCTACTACATTTAATTAAGGTTACTATCAACAGGACTCTGAGCATCAGGATGAGGCAATATTCAGTAATAACACCAAGTGTCCTAGACCCAATCAGCTAGGTAAATTTCAACCATCTGGATCCACCTTAGAAATCCAAGTGTATTTCTCCTTAAGTTTCCACACTGACCTTTCCACTTGGCTCAAGACATTAATCCAGAAACAACTGGATATATTAGAGATCACACAGATTCTACCTTGCCCTGCAAGTAGAAAATCTATAGCCAATATCATCTATAGCAACCCTGGCCACTGAGTTAAGGCTAACCTGAATGCATTCTAGGACTGAGGTGGTATCTTTGATCACCTCAACTAATATCAAAGACAATATCACCTTTTCTTCATGAATTTGTGTCATCTTTTGCACAGAGGCCACACCAATCTTCTCTGTATTATTCCAATTTTAGTGTATGTGCTGACGAAGCAAGCGCTTGTATCTCTTTTTCTAATAGAATTTTCTAATTCTTATTTTCCCCATAATGACTCATATTGTAGGGAAAACTGACTATGAAGTTGGTGTTAAGTAGCAAATCAGCTACCCCTCTGGGAACATTCCCCAAACAACTAAGTGTAGTTCATTTTGGAGACACAGAATAGTGATTCAAGGGCTACATTATCTACTGGGAGTGTTTCCTTAAAATCTTGGAGATCTCTTAGGATTGCTCCTAAGAGGATAATCATCATCTCAGGGGTGGAGAGAAATGAGCTAATACTTGGCTTCCACCCAAGACCTATAATCCCAAGAGTATACTTAGCATCCCCCAAAAAAGAACTATTTGCAATTATAGAAGCTCCTGGAGTGGAATCTATGTCACCTGGAAGCACAAGTTGATATTTTTCCTTTGTTGTCTCCTAACCATCTGGTAGGTCATAGGTTTCAGTTCAGTTGAATAATTGAGTCTACTCATTGTTTTTGAAGGTAGTATTTAAGGACAGTAGTCCAGTCTGTCTGGTCCACGCCATCAACAAGGTAACCTTCATCCAATCCAGGAAATCACTATGCTACAGCAGTGGGAATGTGGATGAAGCAAATAACTAAAGGTGTTTACAGAAATTGTACTGGGGAAAAACAGAAATTGCACTGGGAAGTGTAGGGATGGGGGTTATGTATGACCTTACCTTTTGATAAGCTTTTTGGTAATTTTCAGTTGAATGGCAATCAAATGGTGGCCAGATCTGCCTTATGGCAGCTTGATAGTTTAGGTGCTTAATAGTTTGGAAAAGACACATAAGAGGATTTTTCTTGAGGAATGCTCCAGGTGTGGTCTAAAGGAAAAAAGAAACATTAATGTCTTTTTCCCATCTATGTCTCCCAGGATCTAACATGATCCTTTCCCAGGCTCCAGCTTGTTGCTCTTCCTTCAGTGCCATAAAATACTCGTGTCTCATTACAGTAGCTTTAACTTTACCTTTTCTTAATCACCCCTGACTCACACTCCCAGTTTTAATACAGGTACAAAAGTTACAAAAGCAATTTAATTAAACTTATAAAGCTCTGTTATTTTCCTCACTTTGGCCAGTTTGGGCTACTGTAGGGGAACTTAGCAAGCAGTGTACTCGACCAGATGGTCACTATCTTTATGATATAACCATGCCACTCTTCTAAAAAAAATCCAAGTGGTTAAATAAGAATTAAACAGAGATTGTACAAACCAAGCCATCCTGGAGTTGATATTGGGGAAAAATAACAGGTACCATGCTCAGTTAAGATCAACGCAGAATCCCAAAATTTCAAAGTAGATATCTATATCTATATCTATATCTATATCTATATCTACCTATGTCTAGATCCATGTCTATATCTATATAAAATCATTTTATCCTTTTTGCAATAAGTGACTGAAAAGAGATGACCTTTTTCTGGAGAAAGCTTTATTTAGTGGTCAAACTGATTTACTACAGTGTGTAGAAGAGGAAGAGTTGAGGGAATTATAGCCAGAAACCTTTCTGGGTCAATTTTTGAGGTGATTCCAATGTTGTACAATACGAAATGTTTGTAGTCATTATAGGAAGTCCATTGAGTCACTTGATTATTAGCTCATTGTCATGTGACTTTCAGATAAAATATGCACTAGTGTTAGGCTGTACATGCTCCACAAAGCTGAACACATGGCATAGACTCGTTTAAAGAGCCGCAGAGGTGTGTTCGACTATGTTGATCAGACAAGGAACAGCAACACTGGAATCTGAAAAATGTCGAGAGCTGTAAGCACTGCTGATCCTCCTGAGAGGGGTCCATAGTTTGGCTTAGTCACTATGCCGTGAGCAGGTGAGTGCAACCCTCAATGTGATGTGGTTTCTCATACCACAGGACAAACATCCATTTATGGTAAGATTCACATGTCTGGTGAGCAGTGGTAGAATGTGTGTTATAAACCTATTGTCTTTTACTTTGTGCTTAATCTATGGTGATGGATGTGTTGCCATATCTGGTGGGCGGTAAGTCTAGACAGGAATAGTGGCAGTCTAGACAGTAGAGCAGACAGATTCGACTTCGTTTCATCAAAGAACAGGCCCTCACTCTTCACTGTAAGCATCTCCATGACTGGCCCAGATGGCTCAATAGGCAGTATGATTTGTTTCCCCAGTTGGTAGTCTAAAGAGAGGTGTCTCTAATCTGCCAGGCTCTAGTTTACCAGGTGGCAGAATAAATAGACTAGACTACTACTGGCAACAGCTCAAGAGGCAGTAAACAAAAAATGAGTTTCATCAAGGAGAGTATTGGTTTACTGAATTGAACAATTATGTCCATGTTGTGTTCTGCATGGCTGGTGTGGTTGCACAGCTGCAGCAGTCCAGTGGACACAGTTAAGTGTCAGTTTAGAGGAAATATCAGGGAACCAAGCCTAGGCACTTAGAGAAACCTCTGTGAATCAAGGATCTTTTTGTGCCAACAACTTTGCTTTGATGGGTGGAGAGAAAGATAAAGATTTCCCCAAAGAAATGATTACCATTTTTTTTTCTTTTCATGTAAAGTAGGGGCCTTATAGGGGCCTATAGGGGTCAGGTCAGCACCATTCTCTAATACACCATCTCTTCTTAACAAGAGAGGATCATTGAACCTTTCCTTGTTAACCACTGTTAGTCACTGAATCCAAGTCAACCCAACCCCAGATGGTATTATTAGACTGAAAAGTTATAGAACCTTCAAGGTGAGGTATGCTGTTTTGACTAGTGTTACATAGCAAGCTGATAGCTGATTTTCAAAAGGTGTATACCTGGTAACTGTATCACAAAGGCAACAAATCCAAAACCTCTAAGAGCATCACTGAATGTAGGGTGCCTCCCTCTACCAGATACCCAAACAGCAAAATTATCAGTCAGAAAGACTTGCAGCTTAGAGAGGACAGTAGTTTCGAGAGCAGGCAGAGCTCACTGGAGAGCTTCCAAAACACACTTTTGGTCTGGATCCCATTCAAAGGATGCTTATTTGTGGACTAGCCAATATAATGTTCCAAGTAGAATGCCCACTTGTTTTCAATACTCAAAGAGTTCCATAAATTGTTGTATCTCTCTTTGGGGAATAGCAAAGTGACAGTAGTTTTTCTTGACTGCTAGAGGTTTGAGAGTTTTGATATAAACTTACATAGACCCAAGACAGACTTTGGCTGCAGTCTTCTAAATTACGTTGAGATTTATCAACCACTCTTGATTATAGAAATGTAACAACAGTGCAGTCAAGGCCATTGACATGGAAGCTTCTGACTTGCCAATGTGTAAGTCATCTCTTTAGTGAAAACTTCAGACATTAGAAGGTAGAGGCATTAGTGTTACCCTGGCTCAACTCCTGGTAGCAAACGACAGGGGAACTGATGTACCACTGGGGAAGTACTGCAAATATATATTAAAGGCCTTAGTATATGAAGCACATTGGTCTCGGTCCTTGGGTGCCAGTGGGACAAAAAAGAAGGTGTTTTCAGTGTTCAACACATCTAGTGTCATCAGTCTGTGAAATGGATTCATTTATAGGACTATAGCAGATAAAGTAGATCCAACTGGCAATAATCCACTGTAAATCCCCAACTTTATCATTTTTCATTGGCCATACCTAGTAGGGTTGGGGTTGTTGTGTTAATATTGCAACCTACTCTTGCTACCTTTAAGATTTAACCAAAGCTGTGATTTTCATTTGTCCTCCTTGGATTATATAATGTTTCTGTTGTACCACTCTGAGTAGGATAGGCAATATCAGATAGGCAGATGTATTGGGAAGTGATTTATATGTACTACTAGCAATTTCCTATATATTACTCCTCCTGACTGGGAGAATCCACTCTGGATTTCATAAGTATTCACAGCACAGTATGCGTATAAAACATTAATTTACATTACTATACATTCATCAATAAAAATCACATTACATTGAATCTGTCCAAAAAGGCCCATCAGGAGGATATCTTAGCTCTCCTTCTCCAATGTGTACCTAGCCCAAATTTTATTACCTGAATCTGGATACCCCTATACTTGCAGAACCAAAGAGGTCTGTGAGTTGGGTACCTTTCTTCAACAGAATTATATAAGCTTTAGTTTATTATTCCAAATCTGCCAGCTTACTTAGATAGTTGCACATGGCCTTTGGTTTTCTTTGGGGTCAGGGACACCTAGAACTCATTCAAAATCATCTTTCTCAAAATGGCTTAAGTCAGGGCAGTGTATAAAGAGGAATCAGCATAGAGGAATTAGAGGACCAGGCACACTTGCTTTCAAATTTGAATAGAGTGGTTGCGGAATGCAGCTCAAACTCATGAACCTTTTATGTTTTCAGTCCACCCAAAGCCTTGTATGAGCAGACAGACCATTCTGACACCTTATATTTTAGATTTGGGGCATACCCTTCATTCAACTGCTATTGTCACATTGCTTTCTGTTTGAGGTTGTGGGATTTACTTCCCTTTGACTTATTTGGATTTGACACACACAGTGGTGCCTTTTTTTTTTTTTTTTCCCTTCACAGATTCTACCTTAACCTAGGGCATCTGCAGTCCCATTATCAAAACAACAACTCTTAAATTCTTGCAGGGTTTCTACATAAGGCCTGAGGGAGTTTCCAAGGTGGTATGGCTTGTTAAACAAGTTTATCCAGATTTCTTTGGGTCCATTTCTCATGCATTAGTGGGTCATTTTCATTAGCATGTGCAGCTCATCCAGGGCAGTCAGAGCCTCAATACTAGTCAATGCCTCATCTGTGGTTTCTCAAAGGAGTTCTTCTTTCCCATGGAAATCTCCCTTTAAGTTCCCTCATAGTAGCCAGGACTCACTGCAAAATCCTGATGCCATTTATTGTCATCCTTGACAGGATCTAAGGTTGGCCCGCTACACTGCAGAAGGAACTAAGACATAAGACAACCCATCTATGGTCATTCTTCCTTAGCAACTATATGTGCCTAAAGTCAAGCATTATACCCCACAGGTTTCTTCTCCCAAGTCAACT